AACGGGGTGTTCAGGCTGTATTTGTTCCTGAAACTTACAGACATAAATAAGTTTTTTGCATACTTTTCGGTGCATTAAATTATTCCATGCTTTTTTTCTGGAGAGCAATCACGTAGGTTTTGCTCTTCGGTGGGGGTGGGTTTGAAAGAGCAAAGCAACCTGCCAGCTCAGCTGAGTCCTGCCACGGCCTTGTTGGTGTTTTTCCCCTTGGAGATCTGTTACCAACAGCCGGGATGAGCAGGATGTGCACCAGTCGCTTGACAGATACCACTCTCTTTGCTGCAGGGCTTGAGTGAATATAAGAGAAACTTCAGATGGAAAACCCCAGAGTTTTGTAGCCCGTCCCAACAGCAGAAATCTCTGTGGGCAGGACTTCGGTCGGATCAGTTTGGTAAGCCCCCTGAAAGCAAATCACAGCACTCTTGCAAACCGTAGCGCTGTCCAAGCTGGCACTGGTAACGATAAGCCTGGGCCACGGGACGCCGAGAGGTTTGCTGTGACTGAGTGCCTGACCACTTGTTGTGTATATAATTTGTGCACTTCGTACAGGTAAAAGTATATTCCTGGCCATGGTTTAGAATATGTTTTTGAATGCCATATTCTTTCTGGCTACACTGAAACTTTATTGTAATGTCATTGCTATTTATATAAAATCTGAAAAAAATGTGGTTTCTGACTTGCAGCATAAGCTGAGTCCCAAACTTGTAGCACAGATGCAGTGTTAACCCATACAGGCTGTGCAGCAGGAGGCATTGGGTTGCATGTGGTGCATGGGAACAGTAAGTTAAATTCCATATTTAAGAGGAAACTAACTTAGGACAAAGTTTCATACAAAGTCAAATTGAAATTAAGACTAACAGGGGCAGCTAACTGGAAAAAAAGAGTATTAAACAGAAAAGCTTCTGATGCTGTAATCTAGGAGTTAGGAGTTGTAGACATCATCATGGCAGGAAAATGTGGGGTTGGAAAATAGAAGACAAAGGAAATAGCATCTGGATTGAAAGGCCCGTGGGAAGTTGAGGAACAGGAGTAAGCTGGAGAGTGATGACAACTGCAGTGCTTTGAAAAGGAGCAGTGAAAAAATAGGAATTATTGTAGTGGCACAAGACTAGATTAACAAAATTGTGCAATTCAGTGCAACCACGCAATGCAGTCTGTGCAATTAGAGTCCAGTATATTCATTCCTTCAGTATGATAAGTGTTCTAAATTATGGCCTAGCAATTAAGAACCGTCCACTGGGAGTAGGGTTTGGTTTTGGTCGAGATGCTAGACATTTTAATAAAAACTTGAATTTTGTGAAAGATTATATATATTTCTCCTTTCTTCCATGACTTCAAAATATCTGTTTCTTTAACTTGGCTTTCTGTAGCACATGGCTCTGTGTATGGGTACCTGTATTGAAGAGTATAACTTCCACAAATTCTGAAACATCTGAACATCCAAACACTTTAACTTTTAAAAATTGTGATCTGTGCTGCTTTTCCAGTCAAACTAAACTGAAAATTTTACAAGACTTGCAATAAAGTAACAAGTTAGCAATATGGCAGTTTCTCTTCCTCCTCACATTGTAGTGGTGTTTTTGTGTGTGCTTGGTGTAGTTTTCCTACTGTAGTTTTTTTGCATTCATTTTCACTGCCACGTCTTTTCTGGCCGTTGAACCATCTACATCTTCAAATGTCGCTCTAGACACCGCACAGGACTTGCAGTTTGTTACTGATAATTCATGTTGAAACATGTAGTTCGCAGTTTAAGAATGAATTTGAGGATCACCAGGAAGTTAACAGCTGCAGGTGCTGTTCCTTCCTGCTACATTTGCAGTGTTTTTTCCGCTGGAGTTATTTCCTACCACCTGTATGTGTAGTCGGATATCCAAACTTTCTAGATACCTTTTAACCATAGGTTGTTCTGTCTTTCTGTGCTGCTTTTTCATGAGATACGAGTTTCTCTCTGTCCTAGAAAGTGTTTCTTTCAGCAAGTTAGGGACCTTCACATATTTTTCCTTCGCAGTTGAGCATTTTGCAGTTCGGTTATGATTGCCCACTTTAAATGTGTTCAGTTCAGTCCTCTTCTTAAACTGGTGGAGTAATTTGATTTTCTTCTGTTTGTATAAAGGCCAACAATTCTTCAAAATAACTTGATACATGGTTTTGTTGCATAATCTTTTTACAGTTTTGGAAATGTTTCTGTCTTCATACTATAAAAAGTCACCAATTATCTGCGATGGTTTTAAATCACAGTTGTGTTAGATGGATAGGGATCTGTCACTGTCCTGTCACAGCTGGTGAGAACCTGTTCAGCCAGGTGTATTGTGCCTGTGTCATGAGAAGTGTTTGTGGCGTACTGTGTCACTGCAGGTTGGTTATGCTTTATCTGTGTTAACCACAATCTATTCACTGGCTGTGTTAATTTTGTCGTTACTGTTCAACTCCCAGAATCAACATGCAAAAGATTGTCCTGTGGCCCTATTTGGTTTATAGGGTTTTATCCAACATAAACTTGGAGAACAATCTTCCTGTCCCTTTAGTGGAAAGGAAGGACATTTGCAGATAGGAAAAAAGACAGAATTTCACAGCTGTGCTCATAATTCATAGGCTGTCATTGCTCAAAGATACTAAATTGTAGTTTTTTCTAATAATCAGTTGTATGATAAACTTTAATTTTATTCTTGTAATAGAGTGATATTATGTGTTCAATAGAATGTTTTGTTAAACCTAATATGTCTTTTTCAGGAATCACAAGAGAACCAAACTTCATTTCCAAGAGAAGGGTACCTTACCATGATCCGCAGATTTCAAAATCCTTTGAATGGACAGCAGACTGTGATTTGAATGACCCACCTGAAACTGAAGCTCTTAGGACTGCAGAGTTGCACACAGACCACGACAACGACAATGATGTGAATCAGGAAGAAGTTGAAACACCAGAAGGACCCAGACTGCCGCCAAAAGTTCAGTCACATTCAGTAGATTCTAGAGGTGAAACAGCTCTTGCCCTTGCAGAAGACAACATGGAAAGATCGCCCTCTGATGCTCCACCAAATCAAAATGAAGCATTTTCCTCTCCACAAAAAGAATTAGAAAAAATTGATAATGGGGTAAGGGAAGATATTTTTTTAAATCGACCAGTATGAAAATTACTAATCTGATACTTAGAGTAATTTAATGCACATACACCAGCCTTTTTTGTCTAACTCCTTAGTTCTCTATTTTGACTTTCTGCATTGTAGCTTCTCTGTTGGGAGAACAGTACTTTTGAGACCAGATTTTGGTTCGACTTAGATCGATAGGGATTTACCCTTCGTGTGCCATCACTATTGACTTCAGTTTAAACAAGGATTTAGCCAATAATGCATAGACTTTTTGGTGGTGTTGGCTATAATGAGAAAATGTACTTTATGTTCATTTAATTCATACAACCAAAAAGCAAACTATTGGTTTGAAAGTGTGTGTTGAAAGATACCTGACTTGCAAAACATTGTAGGAAAGGGAACAATTGGTGTTATTTATTTCTCTTTTCATGTTGTCAGCTTCACAGAGTCCTTCAGAGGAAAGCAGGCATGAATATTTCACGTTTAAATACTTTCCCCAGGAGTTCTGAATATCAAAGCCAGTTTGTTTGGAAGAGTCCTCATGAAAAGTCACCAATACTTGCAGCTGAACAGGTAACTTTAAAGAATCCAGAAAGTAAATGAATATTTTCTTTTATGTATCAGCAAGGTTGCTTATCTTCCAGGATTTCCTTTCTTCCTCTTTTGGCAGGGGAACGACAAACTTGAATGTTGTTACATGATTTTTTTTCTCTCAATATATACAGGAGTGCAGTATAATTAGATTTGTTTCCCTGGTCTGTTTACTTGTTCTCCTTCCCCTTGGTTATATTCCATCCTTTCTAACATGACTGTTTTCTTCTGTTTGCACCAATGTACCTTAGGATCTCCAAGATCCTACTCAATGTTACCCTTAATTTTTGTAATTTTTTATTATCTAGTATATAGCTAATCAGCAGAGGAATGTTCAGGTGTTCTGTACTGTAACAATGTGTCTTGCCACTGAAATAATTCAGGTTTCACTGTTTATTTTCATGGTCTTATATGGGTTACCAGAGTTTCTTAGTCTCAGTCTCTGTGCATATATACTTCTAAGCCCTGCAGTGCATCTCTGTAGTGCTTTTTCTTTCATGAGAACTGCTTATATTTAAAAGTGGGAGTTTTCTGATTTTAAGGTACTTTTGTGACATTTTAATACATCTCATGAGTTTTTTGACTTTGTAGGATTGGAAATGCTGCTATTTCTAATCAGACCATAAAGAGTAAGTGACTATGAGACTGCTTTGTGTTTTCAATTAATTGTTACTTTTACCAGGACTTAGGAGACTCAGTCCATCTTTTGATCATTTTACAGTATAAAATAGGCACATCTGCTTTTATTATGTCTTCTGCTTCTTCACTAGGATCGTATACATTAATGGGATTACTGCAGATGAAGCATATTCTGTTTTTACCCACAGGTAGCAGATTTGTTCAGTTAACAGTTGGTAACTAGGATCAATCACTATCCTCTATTTTTCTGTTGGAATGCCAAGCAGGTGTCTTTCCAAATAAAGAAAACTTGTGTTAGTGAACTGCAGTAAAAACAGTGTTTGACCACAGTTTAACTGTATCTGACTCGGTCACATTTAAATGTCGTTTTATCAGATTAAGTTTCAATTTGTCCTAGAAGTTATTTAGTCTGCACGTGCTGTATTTGTACATATGACAGTCTCTCTGCTCACATGTGAGTGTATTTGCATGTATTGGTTAACTGATTTTGAAAATATAATCTTAAAGTAAGCAAATCACCCTCTTTCTTTTTTTTTATTTCCCCCCTAGGTTATTTGCAACACAAGTAAACCCATGCCTCTGTTTAAATCTCCTGCAATTACTGCTGAAACTGCACCTGAGAGAAATCTCAAAGGGTCTTCTCCTGTTCAGGGTCCGCAAGAGAGAGGTGGTTCAGAAGAGAGAGAATTTCTGGTTTGTGAACAAGTAAGTATTTCCCTAAAAGAAAGGCATTAGTATACTTCTATAATTTTGATTGTTCTTTTCTCTTTTGTGGGAGTGGGTTTATTCTGAAATTTTTTATTTACATATTAGAGCTGTTGCTAATGTCACTGAACTCAGTGGTTTTGCTATATAAGACTGAAAATACCTTTACAGCTCTGTTTGCTCTGAGGGGTTTCTGTAGTGGGTTCTGTAGTTTCTGTAGTGCATTTGTTCAGTTTACAATGACATTTTAAGTGTGTTTTTCCTGTCACCTTTATTTATGAGTTTTCAAGTAGGTTCTTCTTTTTTTTTTATTTTAATTGAAACTGTGTTTTTAGTCATTAGGATAGCTTCTGAAATCTGAATCTCTGATTTATACTCTCATTGGTAGCAGTGTAGTCTGTTGGTATATAGGAGGGCTGGATGGGAGGTCTGGAACTTTTTGGATCTCATAAATCAAACATAGTGTGAATTAGAGAAAAATATTTTGATGTATGGAAGATGCCACAGCTGGAACTGATTTTCAGCCAATAGTTATAATTTGAAGAAACCTGGAGGAAGGGTTACAATTTCCCTTTGGCTTGATAAGTTGAAAGGTAAGTAATTGTATTTAGCACAGGGCTATAACAGGACATTGTGTACCCTACGTAGGCTCTGTTACTCAGTTCAAAACACTAAAATGTCTTTTATGAAAGTAATTTGTCTGTCTGGGGCCTCGCATTTCCATGTCTTGCTGTTGGCTTGGACAAACTGAAGTGGACTTTTAGGAAACATGGCTATGGCTGTTTTACCAGATACATTTAATGAAATGGAATTGTATCAAACAGACCTTCTAAAATGGGCAAGAGCAATTTAGACTGCATGTCAGCTACCCTGTTTTGCAAGGTGTACATGTGAATGCCTATTGTTGTAGCAAGCTGTCTAAATACCTGCACGTTAGCTAGCCATCCTTCAGGTAGAGAGACCATGTAGGGGTCTCTTCAGTGCCCATCTCTGTTCCTTGATGAAACAGAAAAAGCTGTTGTCAGACAACATGTTCAATATTACCATTTCTGAGCAAAACACATACTTAACATGGAGGGCCTATGGCTCAGATCAAGCCGTTGGTAACTTTGAGGTTCTAAAAGATGATTGTTTGCTTGGAGGCTTTATATAAAACTCAGAGCTGCCCAGTGCTTTAAATGCCATCTGGAAATGAGGAAATTTTAGGTCCCCTTTTGCTGCTTCCAGCAGATATGAAGAAAGCTTGAAAGCCATGAGGCTTTCAGGAAGCATTTCTTTGTTTTTAATCTTGAAAATTCCATTTATGTTTTCTAAAGAGGGCTAATAAAGTAAAGAAAGAGAAGTCATGAGAAGGGAATTTTGGTGAAAGTGTCTAAAACACCTTTTGTGTATACTGATACCTCTTCTCTGGTGAATATCTTGAAAAAGGTTTTGAGGATTTTAGTGGGGTTCCCCCCCCCCTTTTTTTTTTCTCTTGAATTTGAACAATATCTGTGAAGATCTCTGATAGAATCAGAAATCACTCATGAGATTTCAAAGAGGATAAAAGAAGCAGGAAAAAAATATCTTTGATGTGGAAACTGAACAAGTCAGTCTGGCCCTTTATAAACCAGAATGGCAGCAAATTAAAAAATTGCCTTTTGGTTTATTATAAATTGGTGTATATTGCTTGACTATAAAGCTAAGAGTTTTTATTTTTTTTCATTTGTTCCAAATTCCAGAAATATACATGTTAAGTCATACAGAACTCTGTTTAGAATGCACAGGTATTGTATTATTTTATTTCTGTGTTTCATGTTAAATTCATTTTGTAAAGCATACAAAATGGATCATCTAACTAACTGAACGTTGCACTCAGAATCTTAGCTTTGACATTTTGCTAGTTTATTTTTTGTATTAACAAAGGCACGTAATATTACTGTTTGTATTAAATATGTAAAACAACACTAAAATAAAATTAACTTTTTGCAAAAGCTTGATGTCAAAAGGAATGTGAGGGTTTTCAGATTGACAGCTAATGTGGTATTTTTAAAATTATCTTTGCCGTAGAGTAAGAGGGAAGAACCGTTTCAAAAGCCAGCAGAAGATGCAGCAAAACAAGGGAAATCAGAACAGAAACATCCTAAACAAAAAAATAAGCAACATATCAGTCCAAAGCCCCTCTCTTTACATACAAGTCGTGGGTATGTATAAAATAGGAAAACCTAGCCTAGTGAATAGGTGTACAGCAGCCGAATATTTAGAATGGTGGACGATGGGCCTTTAACCACACCATGCTACAGTTGCAGGGGCAAATGCCTCCTTGCACCACTGGCTTTGAGCTTCCAGTGGCTATGTCTAAACCTGGTGTTGATTTGTACTCCCTTTTCTGTGTAGTGGAAGTCAAAGCTTGGAACCACACTCATTCAATTGAACCTTCTGATGCATTAATAACATTATTAATAAATTTAACGTGAATTAAATTGGTGCAGTGCCGCTACTAAACTTAGCAAGTGCTTTGGAAGTTGTAATCACTTCTCAAACTGCTCTCCTGTGCTTGCTTCATGTACTTGATGTCTGCTTTTTCTAGTCCATATCACCTTCTGTCTCAGTGTAGCAAAAGTAACACATGAGGTAAAGGGAAATAAATCTGTCCCATTTAGGGTAATCTGGCAAGCTTGGAAATAAAATGAAAGTGTAAGTTACTGAGGGCTATGCAAGTATCTTTTTCTTCTGCCACATACCTACATTGCAGGAACTGAACTCATATGTCCATTTTCTACACATCTGAAAAATGCCGAGAGACATAAATGTCCAGAATGGATGTAGGTTTTAGAATGCATAAATTAATTAATCTCTGCTATCTTTGTGCTTAATGTACATCACAGCGATTGCTTCCATTCATTTGACTTTCTGGCAGTGTGAAGGTATTAGAAGAGAGGTGGAAAAGGAGACTTACCTAGGTCTGAATGCTGTTGGGTATTGGGAGATAATTACAAAATGGTCACCCAAAATACTATGAAATAAAATTGCTTTATGAAAAGGTGAACGGATGTGATGTAGTTAAAACCTTTAACTCTCTGGTTTTCACAGCTCTTTGATGTAGTAGATTGTAGTCAATTTTGCAGTGAGTAGTGTGTAAAAATCTTGATAATTTGCTAAGGCTTTTCTTATTTAAGGAGGAATTTCAGCCTCTTGTGTGGTAGAACAAGAAAAAAGTTTCTGAAACAGTAACTGTCAAAATGTTCAAGTTCTCAACTGCAGATAGGACTGTCACATTGTATGCAACCTGTGTTGCATGGCTTTAACAGCAGAATGACTGGGATCAAGGTACAGCAGTGATGTGTTTTTTGAGCTAATCCATTAGTTTTGCAACCAAAGCTGAAGGAATTCTGTCAGTTTCAAAGAAAGGGTCATATGGGAAGAAATTTTCAATATAAAGGGATTTTTGCAAAGATATTTTTGACAGGGTGCATTTTCTTCTCTGACTTCAGGCTTTTGTGATCTGTTTCTGAAGAAGGACTGGAAAAGAGAGCTTTTTCACCCAATGCTGAATATATGAAAATTGAGTTAGTAATGATCTGAAGCAAAATTAAAAACCTTTTTTAGTTTTAAGGTTAGAAATCCACAGTTCAGTGCTTAAGGTCTTCAAGTATTGCTTATTTCCTGCTTTAGGTTAGTTGATGTTAATTTTTCTGTGTGTGTATGTATGTGTGTGGCAGAAGGGAAAAAGAATCCATCTTTACGAGTACTGAGATTTTTTGAAGGTCTAAGCCAGTAGGACATAGTTAGATGAATTATACTCACTGTGGTTCTGGTAGTCGGATGTTTCTAGACCCATCAGTTCACCTCACCCGCATGCAGAGTGGCTTTAGAGTGGAGTTCTTAGAAGGAAATATCTTGGACACGCTCATGCCAAACCAGGCACTTTTACATAAATGCACCTTTATCAGTGACTTAAACCAAGATGCTCCACTTTGCGCTGAAGTAATCGAAGCTTAGTGTGTATTATGTTCTGCTGATCTAGCTGCCAGGGAAAAAGCTTCTGCTAGAACAGTTTTGTGAGGAAAAACCAACCCGAGTAAGTACTTGAAGAGCCACCGACTGTGAGTGAGCTTTTTCACAACTTTCTTGGTTGTGTTGGATGAGCTGTATTCAAAGCATGTGTTTTTCACATGTCAGCCTGGCATTTAGGTGCAAGTATAGTTATGATTGTGGATACAATTTTACAAGTGCTCTTAAATAGTATTCTGGATATCAAGCTTTACTCTTTCTGTCTTTTTTTCCTGTCCTTATCCTTGAATTCGTAGGAAGATGAACACTGAGTATAGATCAAAATTTTTGTCTCCAGCCCAGTATTTTTACAAAGATGGAGTTTGGTCTCGTATCAGGAGTAAAGTTCCCAACCAGGTGAGTATTCTTAAAATATCTAAAGCCTGAGTATGCTTTGTATTTTGATTTTTATATGCTAAAACCTTTGACTTGTAGTGTTTATATACGGCTAGATACGGTTTTGAGATTGTAGTGCTAGTGACTCAAGCTCCCAAACCTGAGTATACAAAGAAGATTACGTTCTGACAAGCCAGTATAATACGTAGTAAGAAAAAATAAAAAGAGACGTTGTGACTTAGAGACTATGTGAATGTGACATGCAAAGTGAGGGAGAAGCTTTCTTGCTGAAAAGGGGATTGCAGAGAAAACTAGAAAGAAGTCACTTGAGAGTAGGCATGAAGAATTCAAAAAAGAATTATTAATATGTTTAGGGCCTTCTAAATGAAGGAGTTGTGCTGTGTAGCTAGAAGAGCCAAATTAATTTCAAGACTCTAATAACAAATGTTTTATTGATTACTTAGATTATGCACGCACTTTTATGTATGCATACGTACCTTAGATCCTAGTAAGAGTTCATGTAAAAGATGTTTATAATTGGAATTACCTCAATTTCTCCTCTTTCTATTAGACTTTAAATCACAGGGGCATGTGTCGTGGTTTAACCGCAGCTGGCAGCTAAGCCCTCCCTGAGCTGCTCTCTCACTCGTACCCAGTGGGATGGGGGAGAGAATCAAAAGGGTAAAAGTAAGAAAACTTGTGGGCTGGGATAAGGACAATTAAATAGGGAAAGCAAAAACTGCTTATGCAAGCAAAGGAATATAAGGAAAGCATTCACTACATATCTGTGTTATCACCACTGTTTTTATCACAGATTCAAAATGTAGCCCCATACAAGCTACTCTGAAGAAATTTAGCTTTATCCAAGCCAAAACCAGTATAGCATATCAAACTAGTTTTGCTAGGAGACAAATATTATTTAGCTTATGTAAATGTGATACTGTGTGGGAATTGTTCTATATACTTCTACCAAATTTGCTATTAATTTGTTAATATTTCCATATATACCATTGAGGTTTATAACTCTTAAATAAGAAGGTTTTTTGTGGATGTAGTGAAAATAAAGGAGCAGCTTGGAATTTTCCAGTCTTTAAGACAGGCTGGAAGAAAACCAAGGTTAATTCTTAAAACCTCTGTTAATACAAGAATAAAAATCCTGATAGACCTGATCCTTGGCCAGGATTATTTATTTTTTTTTTTTAGCATCCATCAATATTTCTGTTTCAAGAACTACAGCGTGGGATCCGACATGACTAAAACAGTAGGACTGAATAAAATAAAATATTTAATTGACGGCTGAGACATAGGAAAGAATCTAGCCATTTGTCAGATATGTGAAGAGCATATCAATGGGAGTATGCATAACTTGGAAAAATTCTCAAGTGCATCAGTTTGATTGTAAAGCAACAAAGGGACTTGGGCTGTTCACAGTATAGGCTGCCCCACAGTCCTTTTGGTTTTTGTATCATTCCATACCTGTTCCCATTGGGAACTGACACGTAGAGAAATGCACTGACACGTAGAGAAACGTTCTTCAAAGCTGTATCTAACCTCTGCCTCCGATGGGTTGTTGACTCAACCCTACTGAAGGTGCCTACAGAACATCTTTTGCTTAAGTGATGATATGATAAGCACTGACTGATCCAGTCTAGTTTTCCCTTAGTTGGGACCACACACGCGTAACTTTGGGTCCAAAGCTGACTTTCTGAAGTTCTGAGCCAAAACAGGCAAAGACCGTAATAGAATCCTGGTATGACCTTAGCCATAGTCATTACTCCTGGACTGCTACCCTACAGGGCGTTATTAAGGGTTGCTTAAAGCAGGCGCATGAAAAAATCTCTTTGAATTACCCTTTTGAAAAATTAATGTGGGCAATTCATAATCGCAGTAGGACTCTCTGGGGCCTGTGTCCTGCTGAGATAATGCTGCCCACTAAGTCGCTGAAGGAGACTGTTGTCCTTTGTACTTCTTCACAATTCACTGGAGACGTAGTATTCTTCCTCCCTCTGCAGTGTCCTGT